CGATGACAGTATCTCAAACGCTCAAAGACAGGCACGTAAGAGGGATACAACGAACGAGCCAAAGAGCAGGAAGAAGCCAAGTGAGGAGAAAACCAAAGAGTCTACAGGCTCTGAGAAAACGAGCAACGACAAGAGCAGGAAGCACCGAAGAGAAGAACCACCAAAGTCGGCCAAAACTTACGGCAGTTCCGATAGAAGATCGCGGCATGAAGAAGAGCCAAACTCCATTCAGAAGAAGATTGAAAGCTCCACAAACTCTATCAGTCTGCTGAACAATCACCTAGAGAAGGGCTCATGCCCTAAGACTTTAAGATATAATGCGCGGGCGAATATCACGCCCGAAGAGGACTTTAAGAAAGACATAAACTCCATAACAAAGAAAGCCTAACAGGCCCTTGTAGGGGCCCTCGTGAAATTCCACCACAGGCGCGTAGATAGACTTAGAATAAGTACAGAAAGCTCAAACAAGCTCAGTCTCGCAGAAGTTATCAAGAAACCAACCAGTCTTTCCGCAAAGCGCCGGCTAGAAATAGAAATACGAGCGAAGATAAGAACGAGAACGAACTAGCTGAAGTGTTGAAAGCTAAGATTAGAGAGGTACTTCAGCGTCGCGGGGTAAGCAATGAAAACCTTTCTTTTTTGCCCTAGCTTCTTCTATACATAAATGTTTTTTTATAGGGAACGAGTTCCCTTCGTCGTTCTTTTGTTCTCTTTCCTTGAAAGGGATTATCCTTTCATCTAAAATAACAGCGGCGTTTATCAGTGTATCGTAAGAACGCTACATGAATTGGTCTTGGTTTTTCCTTGTCAGAGTTTTTCGCTCGCCTTGCATTATTGGTGTACGATGCGCCCGTTCTATTTCAACACGTACACATAGAGTCTCTAGGCCCATGTGAGTAGCTATAAAGTCTTGGACGAAATCTGCACATTCTTGTCCTTCTGCTTTTTCCGGAACATGATAGTATACAAGGTTGTTTCGCCTAGACCTGTTGCGTAATTCCTTAACTTCGTCTTCCAATTCCTCAAGCTTCTCTTTCTTCGCTATCTTTTCCAAGTCTTGTTCTACATCTGCCACATCACTGTTGCGACATTACCTTTGATGTTCTTTACATCGTATTCAATTTTACTTAGCCGCTCATTAATTTTGTCAAGCACCTTCAGCTTTTCTAACTTCATCTGAATGTCCTGAATCAACAACAGCGTTCTCGGCTAGCACGCTGTCTTCTTCCGAGCTCGAAACCCGTGTCCGTTATTGACTCGGTTGGGTGGAATTCTGCAGATTTTGGGGCTAAAAAGATTATAGAATGCGATGTAGTTGCTTGTCAACTTGAATTGAAGCGAAATTTTACCTTCTAGACCCGTTTATGCTGGAGCGCTAAAAACAAACGTCTATTCCATCACCTCTCTCATCCAAAATCTTCTTGAAATGACAGAAAGCTGTGTACTGATCAGTAAATGGCAAAAATTCAATACTCAGACCAAAATTTTGCCTCAAGTCCTTTAATCGGACAATTTTAAATGGTGCTCAACAAATGATCCTCATGCACATTCAAAGACCCAGTCTGGTGGCAAGGTTTAAGAAGGGGATAACACACTTTCTTTTCTCGACAACTGTAACTATTGCTCAGAAAACCCTGTTGATATATTTAATTTGCATCCTGCTTACAAATCTCACAGTTCCCTGCCTTCACAGCTCAAGAAAAATCCAGAGCCCAAAAACACTTCTTTTTATACACACAAGTATTGTATTAAGATCACTTTTGTACGTGTATGAAAATAAACTTGACACTGGTTTCCTTTTTTCCTGTGTCCTGGGCACCTGTGTACTAGATATAGGTTGATTCACAAGAATAATCTTACACTGCCCTGTCTACTGTAAGTACATGTACCTCAGAAATAAAGCTCAACTTTTTCTTCATATTAAAATGAACTGAAACTGTTTCTCTCAAGTTGCAGAGGGCATCTTCCCTATCAATGATATTCAATCAACACCACTAGAACTGTATCTCAACAGTTGTGGTGTAAAATAAAAAAAGCCTATATTAGGATGATTACCATGGGTTAAAACTGTCAAGCAAGAAAGGTCCAGTCAACATAATTCCACTATCAATCAGATTTGTGCTTGCAACAAGACCAGTCTTACCATAACTAGTAGGGTGGTAGGAAAAAGCAAAAAAACTCTCAAAAAAAAGCATTTTTCCTTTTTAAAGTGATGGGCCAGGCCATTAATATATGCACCCTTTAACTTCAACTACCTTAACTTGTCCATTTTCTTTATAGTCTGTCCAAGTTGTCCCATCTGTAGATGACTGTAGGGTGTAAGACTCCACCCACTGACTCCCCTGGGAATTCCCCTGAGTGGATACAGCACAGATGATATATGGAATCTGTAAGTCAATCTGTAGATATGGACTACTGTCACTTGTGGACGCACACCATGATGATCCCGCTACGAAGTTCAGTCTACCGTTCTTTGCTGGTGTGCTGGCATTCAGTTCAGAGGAAGCATTTAACTGATTGTCGAGAATGTACCAGCTCACCCCTACATCATCTTGTTCACATGATGCTACAAAAAGCGATAAAACATTTGAAATTACTGGTTGCCTAGAATGCAGCTATCAGCTAGACCAATTTAAGCATCTTGTTCAAACGAATGTTAAAACATACAGTATTGCATCCGCGTATAAGAACCTACGTTTTCCTATTCCCTATTGTTGAAACGTTGAACAGTGAAAACAATGAAATCATTCCGTGTTAAATAGGGAAACTGACTGCTGCACTGGATAGAAGCCCAGCGTAATGCGAACATCAGTCCCCGTTTATTCATACAAATACAAACACTTAGGTACTGCAAAGGCAGTGAAGTAGAAAAAATGTAACAAGTTCCAAGTAAAGTTCTTTGATCAATAGTAAAGATGATATCGTGTCTGCTGCCCGTCAGGAAAAACCCCCTTAACTTAGGAGGAAACTGAAAGCAGAGCCAGACTCTTAACATGAACCTCGAGGGAGAGAGGTTGACCTTGAATGCAAAATTATAAGTACATCAACGACCAACGACAATCAATTCAAATGAAACAGAAAGAAAAAAGGATTGACAAACGAAACTCAGGCAGCGATCGGTGAGGGTAAAAGGAGGAATGAGTTTGCGGAATGGCATGTGGCATGGCTTGCGGAATGACATAGTTATGCGGAATGCAAAGTATGGAAATTGCCGCAAAGAAATAAATTAAACTAAAAGGCATGCGCGCGTCATTGCCGCGCCTTTTTTGGCGCCAATTTGAGTGAGCTTCACGCATTTAGACATCTATCTAAAACATACCTGAGAATTGGCTAGGGCTCCTGAAGGCAGCCTCCAAACGAAAACATTGAAGTCCAGGTAAATATGGTGAGGCGTGACCAAAATAACTTAGTTTCCTCGATTGTAAAGTAACAAGACGAAATATCTTCTTTTTCCGTTATCCTTAGCGAATTACCATTGTTAAAGTCCTTATTTTTCGATAGAAAGTGAGTACCAGAATACTCGTGCGTTTGATTTTTTGCTTCTTCAAAATACTGTCGGCACCGAAAATGTTACTCCCTCGATCAAGAATTGCGTTGCGTTAATACCTTGATTTCGTGACTGTTATTTTGACAGCTTCCTCTCTTCAAGCGTGAAGTCACGGAACATACTGTCACGCAGAGTCGCCGGCAGGTAAAGTTCAGTGTTTCAAAATAGCTAAAATTGACCCAGTTTCACCTTTTTACCCCATTCTTTGATTGAAAAAAGCAATTTTGCAAAGGGAAAACCTACAAGACGTACGAAAACGAGCCTTTAGGCTGTAAATATCTATTTACGTGCGTTTCGAAATTGGAAGTGTTTACACAATACAGACAATTACCGCCAGCCTACCATGAAAACTCCTGAACTTCGATGGTGTCTTACAGAGATTTCCTTCACTTACCCAAGTCAATTCCCAGGTATGTTTTAAATGAATGACTAAATGTGTGATTTAAATAGCAAGAAGAGAATTTGGAGTTATACCACATGTTAAATATTGCCGTCGAAAATGAGTAACGAACTAATTTTTGCTATCCTGAAAACCTATCCCTCCCTCATTTTTAAAATTATTTCAGTACGACCAGCTTCCCTATTGTCCAGAAAGTATCTTCTAGTGGAAGGAAAATAATTTTTCTGTTCGTGGAAAGTGTCCAAATTTCTCCGTCCAGCTTCGTTTGCGAACGCGAGGGTAGTTGATGTTAGCAAATTTCAGGTTAAAAACTAATGTAGTCTGAGACTCCGATCGAAAACCGATCTTCTATTTTTTTCTCACGAATTAAAGGCTTTAGGCGGGAACAATGTACGTTAGGGTTCTTATATACCTAAAAACTATCTATGAACAAAAATGAAAGAAATTGATTTTTCACTGAACTCTTGCCACGAAATTAAGATTTTGGTCGATTTTTCTGTTTCGCACGTCTCAAGCTCGGCTATCTTTTAAACATGGCACGGAGAATGGGAGAATTAGAAGGGGGAACCGGGAAAAGGGAACGAGGAACGGGGAATCTTTAAAACGGGGAATCTTTAAAAGCGGGAATCTTTAAAAGCGGGAATCTTTAAAACGGGGGATCTTTAAAAGCGGGAATCTTTAAAACAGGGGGGTAATCTTTAAAAGCGGGAATCTTTAAAACAGGCGGGTAATCTTTAAAAGCGGGAATCTTTAAAACGGGGAATCTTTAAAAGCGGGAATCTTTAAAACGGGGAATCTTTAAAAGCGGGAATCTTAAAAACGGGGAATCTTTAAAATGAGGAATCGTTAAAAGAGGGAATCTTTAAAAGCGGGAATCTTTAANCGATGACAGTATCTCAAACGCTCAAAGACAGGCACGTAAGAGGGATACAACGAACGAGCCAAAGAGCAGGAAGAAGCCAAGTGAGGAGAAAACCAAAGAGTCTACAGGCTCTGAGAAAACGAGCAACGACAGAAGCAGGAAGTGCCGAAGAAGAAGAATTACCAAAGTCCGCCAAAACTAACGACAGCCCCGATATAAGGAGATCACGGCATGAAGAAGAGCTAAACTCTATCTAGGAGAAGATTGAAAGCTCCACAATTTCTATCAGTCTGCTGAGCAATCACCTAGAGAAGGGCTTATGCCCTAAGACGTTAAGATATAATGCGCGGGCGAATATCACGCCCGACGAGGACTTTAAGAAAGACATAAACTCCATAAGAAAGAAAGCCGAACAGGCCCTTGTAGGGGCCCTCGTGAAGTTCCACTACAGGCGCGTAGATAGACTTAAGAATAAGTACAGAAAGCTCAAACAAGCTCAGTCTCGCAGAAGTCATCAAGAAACCAACCAGTCTTTCCGTAAAGCGCCGGCTAGAAATAGAAATACGAGCGAAGATAAGAACGAGAACGAGCTAGCTGAAGTGTTGAAAGCTAAGATTAGAGGTCGATACATTGCTGGAACAAATGAGAGCACAGGCAAACAATAAAAAAAGTGAATTTTATCCTGTTGTCTTATCTTACCCTTTAGATTTTTTTAGGTTTTTTGATTGTCATCGTATGTTAAGCCCGCAACATTAAAACAACAGCTGCGTTTGCAAATTGATTGGCGTCAAAAAAGGGCGCTCTCTTCAGTTTAATTTATTTCTTTGGATCATTCAGCTGTGTATATTAAATTCCGCATAATTATGTCATTCCGCAAGCCATGCCACATGCCATTCCGCAAACTCATTCCGCTTTTTACCCTCACTGGGCAGCGATGTCAGCTTAGAATGATCACCTCAGTAAAATCCCGCCCTTCTATACTTGAGTATCTATGACAGCCGTTAATAAGCTGGAACCGTGAAAGCAATAATTTGCTGCTATTCTTAGAACCGCAGCAAATAACAATTTTTTAAAGTCTGGCATATCTTTTGAGACAACAGGTTTTTTTGGATCTTGTTCCGCCATTTAACGCTGGCGGCTTTCCGTTAAAAAATTTCTTAACCGTTAAAGTTTTGCTTTGCCCGACTGTTCCACGCTTATCGTTATCCTTTAAAAGGGAAATGGAATCCATTTAAAAACTTGTGTTCAGTCAACCGTAAACTATTTCCGTGTACTATCCTTTTAACACTGGTGGCTGTTTTTGCTTAAAAATGAGGAGAAGGTGTCACTCAAACTTGCTTCAAAGAACTTGGTGCGCTCTAAATTACAACCCCATATGGAAAAGGATTTCCATATGGATTG